TACGGTATGCTCCTATTATTTGTATTCGTGTGCTTTGTCTGAGGCATTAAAATTATTTGGCAACAGTTCTTCTCTACCGCTTATTACTTATATGGCAAGCTTCTTTTCTTTATTCGTTTTGCTTTCAACTGAGGGTTGATGTTCTCCCATGTTAGTTACAGAGTGAGACAAAAGCATAGGTACTTGCTAAAAAAATGTCTTCTTCTCTTTTATTACAGATCTGAGAAGGCTCTAACTGTGATATAACATATTTTGCAACCACACGAATAACACCCCAAAATTTTCAAAACTCTATGTCCGTCACCAGGGAAGGTATATAGCTGATACTCGAGAGATCAATAGAATTTCTTATATATAAGGAAATACCTAGAATAGTAATACACTATAATCTTTCGCAGCATCGAATTCATCCAGCTTCAGCATCATTACAAATTGAGTGTCTTCCATATGAGAAAATTCATCGAAATGAAAGACCAATAATCAGTAACAATCATCCTTTTACACACAGCCAATTAAAGATGACCACCTTTCCACCAGCATATTACAGATATCTAATTAACCTTTTGGCATAATTAATTCAATTGTACTCTGCCAATGTTTTCTCATTCCATTTTCTTCCTTTCAACTCTTTTTTCATGCCTTCGTGCAAGTCTTCAGTACTATGTATTTTTCGGTCATAAGAACAGAATCTTCTCTATAATATGAGCGATATCATTTTCCTTAAGCTAGTGCCGCGCTTATGAACATTTAGGATCCTATTCAGTTATCTGCAAAATATTTTCTATCCTACTTAGAACATTCAAGAGTTTATAATAACAGAGAAAAAAAGCATTTCTAGCAAGTACTAAAACTTTTACCTAAATCCATAGGTGTACGGGACTCAAATTATAACCATCGCCCTGTCAGTTGAAGATTATAGTGATAAGGATATAGACATATGGGGTATGAGTGTAAGGTTATAATTTACGGATTATTAATATCTTTGCACTGTGTTTATTGACTATATCTGGGTCTCTCTCGCGCTTGCTTTCTCAATAAGATGATACGAAGGGCAGACAATGGATTTTTTACCATGGTAAACAAAAATCTTAATACTTATTATATATTTAATAGATGATAGTGAATCAGAAAGAGAACAACCAGTGAAGCCTAATGATTAATATCCGATTGGATCTTGTCGGATTTGTTAACTTTCGTTGCAGGATCCGGTAAAACCTTAGCGGATCCTTTCATCGGTACTTGTCGGATCCGATAAGATCCTTTCCCAGTTTAATGTCTGTCGGATTCAGGATCACTGGATTCCGGACTCAATCCGATAGAATCAGACCGAAGCCGACAAGGTTCAATGATCGGATTTCTCGACCTGAGTACGACAATGCTGTTGCTTTGACAAAAGACTATATATAGGCAATTTTATTTGCGAAGCATGAACTAAAAAGAACGATGAAGTGTATAGCGAAACTTTTGAGCCTCCTTCTAGTTAGAATATGACAGACACTTTAGCGACATAAAATGATATACTTTGACATATGTAACCTTGAAAATGGATATCTATTGTTAATTTATACGAATTTTAATCCCGGAGATACTGCCCAAAAGGTTTTTCTAACTTTTAAAATTCTTTGATTTTATTTCAAGCAAAAATCGATATTTTTGAGTAAACCTTTGACTAAGTTACAGTTGGAAAGAAACTATCTAGATAGATAATATCGGGTGCCCATCTGTGCTGGGATCAAAGGTTAGAGTGTGAAAGGATGTAGAGTGCGGTGAGGATGATTGTTACTGATTATTGGTCTTTCATTTCGATGAATTTTCTCATATGGANCAATATTTTGTTTAGTAATGACGGTTATTGGACGACTATTACGAGGATTATCTTCCAACGACTCTCGTCCACTTGAAAATCGATCAATCAAATGAGTAGCTGTACTATATGAAACAACACCTTGTCCATAAGCAGCAGTTAATTCATCATGCATCTGTATAGCATTTAAACCTAATAACCAACAAGTTTTTACATATAAGCGAATACAAAGTTTATGCATCTGAGAACAGAGCTGTTGAAAAAATTGATTAAAGATTTGTCATAATAGACACTTGTAAAACTTCGTATTGGTATTTTAATACATAACAGATTTCACTACTAGAATAGGCCAACATCAGGAATAAAATCAATCAGGATGAAATTTTAGAGTACTATTACGAGAACTTTTTGACTACCCTATGTAAAACATAAAGAACTAAAAACGGAAGAAAATGAACTATTTCAATATAATGCAGTGTTGACTGACTCAAGTTTTATAAGGTCAATATGTATGAAAAATGGCTCTATCGATCAGTCTAAAAGGTGTATGTGATAACAATCTATCTTTTTTATTCTCTATAAAATGATACAAGAATATTAAAAAATAACTTTTATCTTTCGGGCGAACTGGGTTTTACATTTCGCTCTTACATAATGGTTTTTGATTTTTTTTCAATAGAAAAAAAAACATTGTTTGCGACTTTCAATATCATGACACAATTATAAAGCAAGACAAATTATGATATTTGAAATCAATGACAAAAACTACATTCAGTTAAACACATTTTAGACAAAATTTTCCTATGAAAAATTCACCTGCGGTTTGTCACGACTGTATTTTACTAAAATTTTGTCCCATATTCCCTTCCCCTCCAGAGTTCAGTTTATCAAGGAAAACAAAACTTCTCTAAAATATGTTTGACTCAATCTAGTTATTGACACTGATTTTGAACGTCATTGCTATTTTTTTTATTAAAGAAAACTTTAAAAAATATTTTGTAAAAAAGAGATGTTTACCTCGTTTTACTTCAACGATATTATTTATTCTTGAATTTTTTTACTTATTCTTTAGAGAAGAAAAGAGATCGATTGTTATCAAACGGACATTTCAGACTCATTGAAAGCATAATTCTTCCTTCACCTCTTTAGTATAATTTCTAAAAAAAAATTCAATGATTCATTGAAACGAAAGCAAGAACAAGTTTTAGGGAGTATATTTTTTTCTCATCAGGATATGACAGTGGTAAAAACTCGATGCTGACTAACTTTTGAAAGAAAAGACATCGAATGCACTAAAAAGAAGACAAAAGAATTTTATTGAGTGCTGCTTATACTTGAATGCCTTATGATTGCTCTCCTACTATTTTTACTTTATTTACTCTATAAGACTCAATAATATATTCTAAAGTATTGTTTATAATAGAACAGGTATCATTTTCTATCCAGTTTACTGAAATAAGAAAGAAGACGACATTAACACTGGAATTTCACGTTTCTGAACTATGTCTTTTTCTGCAGATGAATGAGGATAAATTTGATGCCATTTATAAAATAAGATTCTGAACTGCTCAATTCATTTCAATTGAAAATATAAGACAGCAATAACAGTATTCTTTAAAGAGTTTAATTCTTTAAATTATGCTGATAGTCAGCATAATTTTAGAACTTTTGAACTTGTAGAAAATTTCCTGTTCATTCCAATTTCATGATAAAACTATACTTTTCTATCTTCAAGGTATCTAACAAGTACTGTTATGAAATACGACATTAGATTGTTTTTGGTAAAAAAAGAGAAATTAGGTAGAAACAACGTACTTTAAGTCAAAAAGTAAATAAAAATATAAAAGTTGTTGAAAACAAGTAAAAGTAATTTCAGCTATATGAAAGTCAATCCCTTCTCACGATTAAAGATCTCTCAGTTCTTTTATTTAGTCCAGACAATTACATCATACTATAATTTGAGTATCTAGAGGGTTTTATTACAAAATGCGGAAGTAGTTTCAAATAACTGGAAATACTAATAAGTAACTTCATATGATTCAACGTTAGCTTGAAACATCTTAGAGTGATTCAAATTAACTTCAGGTAAAAAAAAGTACAATGTTTAACCCCTTCTCCTCCCCGCCTACCAGAAAAGAAATTCGATTCTTTCAATTGTCTTTTGTTTAGGTCAATCTCTTAACTGATCATACAAATGGTGGTATTAGACATGATGAAAGAAATCCATTGAAACTTTTCATAACAAGTATACCAATGCATACGTCTCGTACAGTGACATTTATATTAACAAATACAAATCCAATTGATATTGAAATTAAAAATTTTTATTTTACTTTACTAAATACTAATATTAAACTTGATTATATGAAATTATTAAATGGAAATAAAACAAAAATAATTGATAAAAATTTCTATAAAAATAATAATATTTCTCAAGTAAGATTATAAAATCAAGAATAGAAATTAAAAAAAATAAATGATATACATATTTATTTATAGCTTGTTATTCCGGAACAACATCAAGCAATTTTTTCATTAACAATTAATGGAACAAATCCACCGAAATTTTATAGTGAATCGATTACGTTTGAAACACATTATCAAGTAAACTAATTTGATTTATTTACTTTGTTCTATTTATTATTTTTGTATAGACTCTTAAATTAGATATACAATATCAAATAATCAATGGTTCGCTTGAATTTATTAATAAAACACCAATACATATTGATGTATTTCCGGTAAAAAAAATTTTATTTCGAATTTTGTTTTTCATCTTGTTTATTTTTATAGAATCGTCTTGGAACAGCCGATATATTTCTACAGAATAAATTTGATGAACCTATCAATGTTACACGTATAGACTTTATAACATATGGAATTTGTTTTTCATTTATTCGAAATAATACAACAAATGGCCATGTTGAACTTGAACCACATAAAATACAACAAGTATGCACAATAAAACTATCAAATTTTTTTTTTAATATAGAATTTGTCAAAAAAAATTCAAGACTACAACATTCAAAGTCATTTCTCTACGGAAGTTTTGATACTTCATCAGAAAACAAAGATGATACAGAGATTTATCCGATAACAACATTAAACATATAAAAGACAAAATAAAACACTTGTTTATTTTGCAATTCTCTATTTCATAATATCAGCATTAAATTACTAATTGTCATTCAAATTAGATTTTTTCTCAAAATATGAATTAATCAGCTGTTACCGGAGATGTCCATCGTGACTGAAAATCTCGTGACAAGATGGAAAAGTAATTCAAAACATTTCTCTCCCTCTCTCTCTCTTCCTTAAAAGGAACAATATGTATTATTGAATTTATATTAATTATTAGCTGGAATATTTATTCAAATAGAAATGAGAAGCAACGATAAATTCACTATAATGACAATAGCAATAGAATTTTTACAGAATAACCAATACTAATAGAAGAACATCGGCTTCAGAAGTTAATCGTGACAGATAGATATAATCTAAATAATGTAGCAGTTTTACATTTTTCCATGTTCTATGATAAACTAGAAAAAGATAGAAATTATGGTAGTCGAAAGATAGCGAGAGCTTTTATTGTTAAAAACGGACAGAGATAATGTTGAACGTTATATTTAGTTATAAGATGCCAGAGTCAATCGCTTGCATGTGAAAAATATCAATGTTAACTATTCTCTGTTACCTATGAAAGAGAAAATTAGCACAAATTCATTTGCAACGCTGATTATATTTCCTTTATTCTTTTCTAGTAAATTACAAATTAAAAAAACTATTCACTAACTTGTTGAATCACCTTGTTTTATGTTTGTTAGCGCTTGCCGTGCACTTCTTATGACAATCATATTTATTAACTTGAGCTGATGATAATATTTGTCTCTTATTATTTAATGTGATGATATTGCAACTAAAAAGCCTTTCCGTTCCTTAATGACATAGTAGGAATTGAAAGCAGTTTTCGAGCAAGAAGTTTTAATAAAGGAATTTTTAATGATGGTAAATCAGCTTCTAGATATTTGATTAATCTAAATATCAAAGTAAATTATACCCTACGTACTGTAGATTTCTTAAGAAACCAAAGAAATAAGCCTTTTAAAATTTGAGTCTCTGGCTGCTAGTTTCGAATTTCAAATATTAATCGAAATCGTATAGTTTCTATGTCAACATTTTATTTTGAAAGTCTTTTCTATTTTTTTATTTTAATATCACAAATGTTTGATTTGATCCAACTAAATAATACTAATTCTATGTCTCCTGTTGCTTACTTTCACGTTTTTTTTATTGTGCCTAGTAAGTATGTAAAGATATTTCTCTATTTCGATTTTAGAAAGCTTCGAACGCATAGGTCAACAAAAAAGAATTTGAATTTCCAGTTTATTGATTAAGAAAAAAAACTTAACTTATCTAATTGTATCATTAATCTAGATACCATTCAATTGTACTTTAAATTTATTAAATAATAACGAAACTTTTTTCTTGTTTAATTAACTTAGGTTGGTAGACTTAATTTTGATATGGGTCCATTATGTGAAAGTATTCATGTTCCATCTGTATCAACTTGTTATTGTGGTTTAAGTCATCATCGAGAATTTAAACAACGATGGGATGAACATATTTCTGCATTGAATACATATGAACTTGATCATTTACTTGTTATTCAATTTCGAAATCTATGGAATGAATGGACAACACTTGTACAACAGCAACAGTAAGAATTTATTTTTCATTTTTTAAATATTAATTTTTTCTGTTTATATTAAGAGTTCAAACAAATATTTGGCTTTATACTGATCGAGCTAATATATCGTGGCCAGTTACAATCGGGTTTGTTTGGCCATCTGTACTTGAATATATGTCATCATCATTATCTCGTATACCGATTATTCTTGATTTTCATGTTACATTAATTAATATAACTAAAGTAAGTTGTTTATGAAATATTATGATTTATATTCTTGTCTTTCAACTTTTTATTTTTGTATAGACACAAAATGTTATTATTTCAAATCCATCTTCAGATCTTGTTACGTATTCAGTTGAACTTCTTAATAGTTATCCAAATAATTCAAAATCAATTATCAATGATCAAATTTTTACTATCTCAACAGTATGTTTTAAAATTAGTATATTAATATTTTATTTCACATTTACAAAAGATTATGTAGAGTTAAATTGTACGATTTAGGAAGAATATGTTTAATTGAAATCGCAACTATCTCCTACTGATTACTTTCCGCTTGTGGAATTTCCAAGCATTGATATATGGATAAAATCATTTTTTATATAGATATCTTCTCAGTCTGACTCACTCATCATTTTTATAAACATTTCACCATATAGAAACCTGCTATTCTCAAATGAAATTGTTTTGTTTTCTTTTGAACGAACAAATATGTTATGGAACAAGATACATTTCTGAGAGATAGGCAAAGAAAAATTCGACAGCTTTTGAAAATGTGAATGTAACAAAGTTAAAAATGATAGGAGAAGATAGAGCATGTACATTTTAAGATTGATAGGAATAAGAAGGAAAAATCTATGAAACATTAACTTGTAGCGATAGACTCAATAATTAGTACTATGTACCTAGTTCATTAGTGTATGGAATTTAAACGAAGCTACTTGATAGTATATAGGAATGAGCTAATAACACAATGTTTGGATGTACTACAATCTGTTAAGAGTTGCGAGAAAAATTTGGGATCCATATATAGATTTTATTTCAGACCCAGTTTGTATTCAGTTTACAGTTTGAATAGAAAAGAGCTGACGTCAGTCGATTCATGGACAACGTTTCAGCTACCGTTCAACTTTAGATTAACGTTTTTCTAAGAGAAGGTAATAATAGCTAAAATCTTGATCTTTCATTTGGTCATGTATCTAGAGGATGCTAAATGTTAATGAAAACAAAACTCGACTTTAGATCCAATTAGTTTCCTACACAGGTACAAATTTTGGAAACCGGAGTTAATCGACATCTAGCAGATACTATCGCAGTCATAATCTAACGTTAAATCTTTATTTTATATGACAAGTATACTAGTTAGTTTCTTCCATAGACAGTAACAAAAAAAAGAGATCATATCAAATTTCACGAAAAAGCATGTAATCCAAGATTCATTTGATATCTTTCTGTTACTAGAATCCGATCAATTTCATTAAGTGTATATTTGCTTGTTGCTAATGATGCTGGAATGGAACGCAGTGTTGATGCCAAACATCATCATTATCGACACAGTGATGAATATTTTTTCCATAATAATAACATCTGTTCACTTTTTGTAGTAATTCATTTTTCTCTCCATATATTCAGTCACTTGACCGTATGATTCATCAGCGTTTCTAAATGAATTTTTATTGAAAACGAATTCTTGTAGTAAAACACTTGTTCTCCACTTCTATGAACTGTGCTCAAGGACAATAAATTGTTCAATCATCATTGAATCAGTTTTCATTTCTATGTTTTTATATAGATTAGCAGTTTGAAAAAGTAAAAACATTTTGAAATATCGAGATCTCATTGATTGCTGCTGACTCGGTTGCAGGACACTTGACCGAACTGGATCTGGCAAGTTGTGATTCATAATAACATGAGTCCTAGCTTTCTAACGATGAGACACTAGTTTGGATTGGATGATTGTCTATGAAGGTATGTCGTCACTAGAGAATGACAAAAATGGATAATAGACTTAAGTAGACAAGGCTAAGTTGTTCGCCTTGATAAGATACAAACTTTGAACTATTTTACAATGTATTTAGCAAGAAAATGATAAACTTTTTATTCTAAGTCAAAATTTTAAAATCAATATTTGGTAAATATTCATTCTCTTTTTAGACATCACAAGAAATAAAATTAATCAATGGTATTTATAATTTTAATCTTTCATCTAATGATCAAATATTATTTACCGTATTCTATCAACCAACATCATCGATCAAACATGAAATGTATCTTGTTGTTCGGTATGTTTGAATAAATTAAAAATAATATTTTAATGAAGTTTTATTATTTATTTTTTAGAAATAATTTAACAATAATTGAATCAATACATTTGCGTGGTGAAGGTGGTATTGGTAGTTTACAAGTTGGAAATCGTCAAGCTGGTTCATCACTTATTCCAATTGTTTTAAAAATAGATGAAAAACAGTATGGACTTTGTTCAAGTAAATAAATATTTACTTTTTAAAAAGAAATAAGAACAAATTTTCTTTTTTTAGTAGATAAAAATGAAAACTCGTTATTACGAAAAGTTGTAACACTTCGTAATACAGGAAATATGAAAACAATCATACATGATATATCATTTAGTCATTCGAAATGTTCTGGACAAGGTTTTTCAGTTTCAATTTGTACTGATATTGAAATCGAACCGCATGAAAAATATGATCTGAAAATTTTGTAAGAGACAGAAAGAAAATATCTTTTTTTCACATTTATTCTTGTTGTTCTTTTTAAAAGATTTCAACCGGATTATACATCTGATGAAATAAATGAAACATTAATATTAAATACAAATACTGGTCTTATGACATTTCCAATTATTGTTCAAATTTCACAACGTGTTTTATTGTCATGTTATAAAACAATTCCACGTCCTCCGTGGGAATTACGAACATATGGTTTATGTTTTTGTTCATTTTTCCTTTTTATTATCCTAATTTTTGCCACAGCTGTTTATGAAGCTCGAAGATTATTTGATAATGTAAATAAAAAGAATTACTTTTTTCAAGTTAAACTTTTTTTTTTTTGACTTCCTATAGTATTTAACTCGAGCAGAATGGCGTGATCGTATGCAAATGACAAATAATAAAATCTTTGATCTCAGCGATTTATCATTAGCCGTGCAAGACGAACAAAAAGCACGGTAAAATATTCATAAAAATAAAAAAATAAAATTTTTTTTTATATTTTTATTTGTATTAGTGAACGACTTGAATCAAATTCAACAACAGACACGAAAAAAGAAAAGACTATAGAAACGTCAAAGACTGAAAGTAAACGTAAACGCTCAATGACATCGAATAATGACAATGAAGATAAATTGTTGAAAGTAAATAAAAAAATCATTTTGTTTTCTCTTAACCTATTTCTCGAATCTTGATTAAAGTCCACTCAAACTTCGGATGGATCGAATACAACTTTTCGATCAGTAGGTGTAAGTCCTAAAGCAATGTCACCTAAACAAAGACGAGCGACAACGGATAGTGGTCCATCAAAGGTTGTTTGTTTTTTTGTAATTATAATAATGACTAGTATGAAAGTAAAATCTTTAGTTTTCGAAACCACAACAAGAAATATTGCCAAAAAAACAATCATTACAAAGACGAAAATCAGATCAACATACATCGGTAACTCCACGAAAAACTGTTTCATCAACAACCATGTCCGAAGAAGAAAATGAACCATTTGTAGTATGTTAAAACAAATTTTAAAACTATTGAGATATAGATTAAGAGAGTAATCATAAGACTATCGAGTGTGTCATATATTGAGATGACATTCAATGGCCTTATATATTCCTCTCTCAAAATATTTTATTGAACATAGGTTGCTCGATCAAGACGTGTTTCGAACAAAGCAAAAGAATCATCTACTAATATTGCTTCTCAGTCAACTGTCGATACTACTATTGCAACAAAACAAAAACCTTCTGTACATTCTCATCAACAAGATTTGTTGCAATTAGACGATTCTGTTAATGATCAACAATGGCATAGAGTCAGTTCTAATAAAGGACAACGTAAAGGACCTACAACTCGACGAGAAACAACTGATGAAACTCAGACAACGAACAAAATCATCAAAGTAACGTCAACTAATTCTGGTAAGTATTTCTGTTTGTATATGAATAATACGTGTTATATGCACAGTGTTGTTATTAAATTTTCTTTGTTTTGTTTGTTTGATGTTGTTTTCTATCGGCTTATTTCATAGAAAATCCAAGGACACTATCATTATCATCACCATCATCACATAAACATAGTTCTATTTCACATGAAACAACACCATTGCATCATCATCCATCACGAGACCGCTCTGCTCTTAATCCATCGCCCACGCCAGTTCCTATTTTAACAGAAAAAAAGGGTTTACAGGGTGACACATCTTTAATTCCTACTATTCGAGAATTGTCATTACGTCAGTTAGCGGAACAGTTATGGGCAGCTAAACTGCCGTCATCAGCGACGGCATGCTCAATGTCTATACGTTCACGTTGTTCATCAGCACCAGCATCTGAACATGGTGGTGCTCAGAATGAAACAACAAAATCTGATCGGAACGATAATGGAAAAGAAGAAAATATCGATTGGGATGAACCAGATATACCTGATGAGGGTAATTCTAGCTGCTTTTATCCCTGCTATTTAATAATTAATAACGCTTGCTTTGGTGGCTGATACATATTTAATTTTAAAGTATATATGCTACGAATCATCTATATATATATTCACATAAACGCTTTATATTCCGCATAAGGTCTCGAGAAATAAAAAACATAAAACAAAGTTGATGAACAGAAACATAAAAATCGATGTAATTATTTCAAATTCATTGATTAAAAACGAATATTTTCATCAATTTAATTCCATAATTTTGATGAAATATCAAAGTAATTACGTTTGCACGATTAAAACCTCCATTTTAATCAATGATATTGACATGCATAAATTTTTATGTCTATTTCATCATTCAAACATCTTTTTTCCCCGTGTTTTTAATATAAAATCTAAGACAGTCATAAATTCTTGTTTTTATTTCTTAACTCTATAGAAGCCTCCGAACTGTACACTAATTATAACAGATAGGAAGGACGAAATTATTTTTTTCTTTGCATTTTTTTTTCATTCTGTTTTGGCGTTGACTCAAAAACAGGGATTATGTTGATTGGTACGCATGTGTTTTTTTTTTTTCATTTTTTTTTCTTTGCGTTCTCTATTTGTAATTACCCAATATCATAGTATAAAACGTAATATTTTATCGCAGAAAATGCTGAGAATATCCAGAGAGTCGAAGGAAGCAACGTAAATTAACTAATCGATTATTCTTAATAACTTTTTTAAAATTTAATTTTTCTCTGCTTTTTAATATTTTTAAACGTATATTTAATTTTAAAAAATATATTATTTAACATGCTTAATTTAATGTCTTTTTCACCGTCAAGTGAGTTAAGATTTTGAATGAAATTATTTAACTGATTATCTATTTCAGATTTTGGTCGATATGCTTCACAAACAGAATGTTCTATGGATGAATTAAATGATATTAATGAACAACCACAACAATATCTAACTAATAATATTCCATCACTTATGTCATTATCAATAACGCCACCAATCATAAAGAAAACTATTCAAGAAAAACCACCAGTATCTACATCTGTTGTTAAAGAAAAGTATGATTTGAAAAATTTTTTAAATATTAGTCTTAAACAAATAAATATCACTTAAAAATTTGTATGATGAGAGAATACTTCCATCTATCGGACATCATTTGATTTTATATTTTAGTAAAACATGCTTTTTAAAGGGATGTAAAATATTTATACAATTATTCTCTTTGTTTTATAATGACGATAGAGAAAAGAAATTATTTTAATAAAAAGAATCTTTTGAAATCAAATCACAAGTTTTTGATGTTAAGAAAATTTAAGCTTCGGTTCATATGAACAGAAGCATTGAGTTCTATGGAATTTGAACACTTTTTCCAATGTTCAGTAGAATCTTCACAATAAAAAAAGATTGTCGAAATTTTGATTTACCATCGAGTCACAGTAAAATAAATCGAAAATATCACTGAAAGTATAATTTCGACAATTTGTCTAATTTCTCACCAGAACTTTGACAATCTCTTAATTGTAAAACTCAGGTAGCAAATTTCTGATTTATCACTGGGTTGAAGATTTTCTAAGCCTTATTAATACTAACTCACAGTCCAAATGTTGAGTCTGACAATAAAGAATAATTTCAACATGATGTAGACATGCATGACGAACTTCTCTATAAGATAAATTCATGTACAAGATGAAAATCGTATATAATCTATTAATGTTGCTGATTGGTATGTTCACACATATACGACTAAGAATGATAATTAACGTCAAAAAAATGTGATCTAGATAGCTAAAAGCGTCAATTAGAAAGAAATACAACGAGTCTTCTTGACATTTAAAAGATTTCTTTTTTTACTATGACGTTATTTTTATCAATGCATTAACTGTTATCTATTGAACTCATCTAACCTATTGTGAACCTATATTTAACTGATTCAATGTCAAATAGAGTTTCGGATCTAAATATACATAATAGAAATCTCGTTTAGAATCTACACTTGTGTATCTTTCAAAAGCTTAGCAACAGAAAGATGCTTATTCGATCTCTAAAAGAAAATGTTTTCTTGAATTATAGTATAGAACCGTTACCATTTCCACAACATGGATTAGGTCCAATACAGCGACCAAATAAACTACCATGTCCAGCAACTGCCCAATCATCATCATTTCGTACTGATTCTACTCAATCACCAAGTACACCGGATGTACTCGTTCAAATAAATCGTCTTCTCGATCATTCAAATAGTGTAACAACAACAGCATCAACACCAAATGTTCCTATTTCAACAAATTCATCAACAATAATCAATGAAATTTCAACGCCCAATGTCTCGTGGACACCATTTTCACCATCAGAATGGTCATCAAAATATGATTCATCATGGTCAACAACAAATCTTCAAAGTTCAAATATTTCTTTAACAAAACCAATACAGAATCCATTTTTACAACAACAACAACAACAAATATCAAGTGAAGAATCTTCGGTTTGGTCATCAGCGTTAGGAACAACAACAGCGAATTCGGCATCATCAAATGCACGTACACAACGTACTTCCGAATGGCATGAACTTTTTTCTTCGAATGTTCCTTCATCAACTCAAATACAAAAACCAACAAATAATTCTTGGTTAAAATTTTTGCCAGTATCTGATCCATCTCCAGTTGATAGTATAACATCAAATAGACAAGAAAATGAAACAAATAATGCAGTAAGTTTATTTATTTTCAATACCCATTAATAAATTAATTATTCTAGTTTTGGAATCTAATTAATCCTAATGAGACACAACAAAATTCATCGGCATCATGGTGGCCTAAAACATCATCCGATGGAAATAATAATGATAATGATCAATCTCGATGGGATTTCGCTCGTTAAATATGTGTTTGTTTGTTTGTTTTTGATATTCTAACATCCATAAAAGAAAAAAGCTGTTAATCAAGACAAATTGTTTCTAACCGACTTTTTTTTTAAGCTTCCATTTAATAATTAAAAATTTTCTTTGTGCATAAAAATTCTTATGGAACAATAAAACATATGGACTTATTGTCAAGAGAAATAAAATAAAATACAAAACACAAATATTTTATTCTAGAAAAATGCCATCAACACATATTGAACGTTATATACGTTCCATATTTGTACAAAATATACCAGCTGGTATAACAGAAGATCTTTTTCGACAAATGTTAAGTCAATTCGGAGCTTTAATTCATTTTCATATGTTTCTTGATCCGAATGCAGCAAATAATACAAATGAACAAAATATACAAACACAAAGAAGTTATGCTTTTGCTGAGGTAAGTTTTAGCAATTTTTTATGTAATTCGAGACTATAGACGGATGCACAATCTCGGTAGGAGAATGAGATGATTATTGTCAGGAAAAAAGGTTCTATATGAGACTCATCCGAAATGGTTTCAACTCAGTTTTGTTGAAGGAGATCAAAAAGATTTCAACCGTTACTGTATATAAATCAACAAGATCTCTGCTGGTCAGATCATTGAAATAACCTCGTCAAAGATTGAATAGTAGAACTTTTGTTTTGACTAAATTGGATAATAAAAGATTTTAATGACTATGAGAAGAAGAAGATTTTTTTAAAACTTCAATCAGTCGAATTTAAATCCTGTTGAATATATATCAGAATATGAAAATATAACTAAAGCTTAAAGAATAAGAGACTACTGAAAATTATTAGATTTATCATTTAGTAACTTTTAAGATATTCCAGTGTTCTATTCAAAGTTTATCTTGTGGAAAGATGGCACAGATTTATAGAACATAGTACGATAACCACAAACTCTGGGAGGGTAAACCCGATCTTCGGTGGAGCGTCACCTTCTCGATCCGAACACTGGATACAATATTGAGATATTCTATCTGTATTAGTCAAATCAATCTTTAATCTTATTTCTTATATTTAAAATCCAAATAATTAATGTTGTTTATTTGTAAAATTCCAAAAAAAAAGATTACTTCGAAAATGTCTCACTGATGTTCTCGTGTGAACAAATAAATGTTGCCCTCAGAATACAATGTGTGCCTATTTCTAAACAATATTTCTTTCATCATATATATATATTTCTAGTTCGCATCGAATGAAATTTCACAAAAAGTTATTAATAAATTAAATGGACTTGATTTGGGTGGTTTTCGACTTGTTGTTGATTTACTTTCTAATCAAGCTGAACCAATTATTAATTTATTTGAACAATTTTGTCCTACAAAAACGGCAGTCACATCATCCAATAAAAATGATCCTCGTCTTGCTAATACAATAGCATCACAAAGTTCACAACCACCAGCACCATTATCGTCAACAACAACAATGGAATCAGCGAATACCACTGCTAATATGACTACAGCAAGCAATAATAATAGTATTAATAATAGTAAAGAAGAACGTGAATCGATTTCAAATGCCGTTGCGTCATTACCACCAGCTCAAGTTAGTTATTAAAATAAATTAAATATTTATTTACAACTTTTCTTTTCTTCTTACATAGATGTTTGAATTAATGAAACAAATGAAACAATGTATTGAAGCAAATCCTAATGAAGCTAAAACACTTTTATCAACAAATCCGCAATTAGCATATGCTCTTTTACAAGCACAAGTTGTTATGAGAATAGTCGATCCTCAAGTAGCAATGGTGTTACTTAATCGTACTGATAAAGATGTTATACCAGCTCCTACTGATGTTAAAAAACCAACAACAACAACAGCACAACCGACAGCAGCAGCCACTGCTCCACTTCCACTTCCAGTTACAGCCAATCCAACTGCTCCATTTCCTTTTCCAGTTATACCTGGCGCTCCATTTTCAATGCCTATGATGGCTCCTAATGCTGCTACTGCTCAACAAGCTGCAGCCACTGCTCTTTTTCAAGCAGCTCTTCTTTCAGGTGCTGGAATGTTTCCTGGTTCATTAATACCACCACATATGCCACATACTGCACCATTTCCACCTGTTCAACCATCATTTCCACCTCAAATAAATCCTTTAGCACCACCAATGCGTACACCAAATCTTGATGAGAATGCTGCATTACTTTTATTACAATTAGATGATGCTCAATTAGCACAATTACCACCAGCACAGAGTATGCAAATTCGATCATTACGTGAACAAATTGCTAAAACTGGTTTATTACCTAAAATGTAGTCGAGATTTTTCTGTTTGTTGTTGTTCTTTCGTTTGTTCTGATATAAATAAAGAAAAGTAGAATTAAAAAATATTTTCATTTGTGAAGAATAGGCTTTATTGACAATTGTATATTCAATTTTCATAGGACAATATTCCAATTTTATCAAATCATTAATAGTAAAAGTAGAATGAGATAAATTCAATGATTTGCTAAAAATTCAAGTTATCCCTATCTAGCCTTCCATTTCGATAATTCTGTTCCATCCTTTTTTTTTAAATTTTTTCGAGAATTGAGAAAACAAGTAATGAAAACAAAGTGAATAACTGGAGTTCAAGGATTTTGTAGGAATGGATTAGTAGTATTTCTAGTAAATGCAACGGGTGTTATTGATCAGTCAAATGCATTTAGAATGTATTCATGTAATTTCATTGGGTTTTATTATTTAATATCATTAGTTTATCTTGAAGAAGGGATGATATAATAAAAGCGATTTTTATTTTGATGATTATTGCATCAATTAATGAATGAGCAATTTTCTTAGATCTAATTTTGAGGACATTCATTTAATCTTCATGATGAATAATAATATACTTTTCGAATCAGAAACTAATCATATTGATGACTTGTGTGAAATGGTCACATTTTTCTCATAACATCTTTCTCAAGTGAGTTAACACATTATTATTTATCCTATTAAGCTTTTATTTTAATTGAAAAAGCATGAAGCTGGTGTCGATTACTATCACCAGTTTAATAATTCCTGTTGTAATATGACTACGATATTATTTAGAGAGAACAACTTTGTTAGACAATTTGACTCCACAGTTGTGCTGGACGTATTTCTGATGTTTTATGTGAAAGAATAATTTGTGTTATTAGCATGATAACAACAAAAAATCAAATAGAAGCACATTTATAATTTTACAACATATGCTTATAAGTTTTACAAGAAAAAAATAAATATTTACATCTGATTATATCTACTAACTTTTTTATCTTAATAACAAATTTGTCACAGATGTTTATTATAACACTTTTGCCTCTGTTACTGTTAAGGATAAGTTATTTCTATGTCAAGAAAAAACATTCAATGAATTAAGAATAATATAATTCCATGATTGATTTTAAAAAACCTAAATTTCATTTTATATTCTTCTTCTTTTGAACATTTCATTCAAGGATCAACATCAAGCTTCAAGTTGCAAGAAAAAAAAGAATAAGAAAATTATTGTTTTTAACGTATGAAAAGCACATCTTTCTGTCATAATTAACATTGAGAAAATTAATTTCTGACATTGAAATACAATTATATTCTTTGAAGACGTCTAATGTAAAGTGCAGAGCATATGAACTTGTATTGTGCTAAAAATGTTTGTCATTCTTTTAAGACATTTGTTTCATTAGGTTTAACACTCTAATGAAACTTCAATATACTTCAAGTCAAGTAATCCGGTATTATATATAAGAAGATCACTAACTAGATTTCTAGAATAGATATTTTATCTATGAGATACCATCTTAAATGCTTTCTCATGCAATCGAGTTTCATATTGAAAAAAAGCACTGATTCGAAAGTAATTAGTTCAGGTTTTTTTAGAATTCAATTCTATTCAAATGAATAGTTCTATTTTAAGCTTATAAGTTAATCTTTTCAATGGTATAATTAATTAAAAAAATCTTATTAAAGTCAATAAGATCTTTGAATTATTAATCATCTCTTGATTTATAAATGATTTTGATGATGTAGTCAACAAACTTGAACAATATTTCTTCATTGTTTAGTTTTTATTTTATTCATTAATCATCGCATCACACAAGCCTTTTCCTCAATAATTTGTCACGACTTGTCTTCATTTTTTTTTCTGTCTCTTCTCTTATGGTTTAGTCTAAACTAAGACTTTTATGTTTTCTTGCTCTCTGTCTCTCTCTTTTGATAATGATGAGTGTCAAATGTTAGAGAAGAGAGAAAAATCCTACAGGTATAGTTGCCTTTGTTTTGCTTCTCTCTCACTCATTTCCTATATCTAATTTATATATAATTTCGAGGCATGGTACACTTACGTCAATTTCTTTTTTTTCTTCCTCGTCATTTAGCATATACTTTCTTTTTTTTGTTTTGACACATTCTGAAGAGTAAAAAGTAACTTTTTTTGTTTGACTTATAATCAAAGAAAATAACCTTTTTTTTCCATTTTTTCGCTCGAATACATTTTTTGTTTTTTGACAATACATTTCCTTATCATCAATCTACGTTAATCTTCAGAGTTCAATCATTTGTGAATTAATTTTTTTTTGTATATCGATTTATCTTATAAAACACGCTAAGTAAGTCGTAGATGAAAAAGTTTTTATTACTAGTTGACATAAATCTCTTTTGTAGATATATTTGACATTAAACCTAACACTCAATTTGGTACCCAAATGTAACAGAAGTTTATATACAAATTTTGGATATTTATCTTCATTTACTATCAATAAACATGTGCTATTATCCTTTTTTTCGTAAGATTATCGTGCTTGATGTTATATATATTTTTTTTGTTCCCGTCTATATAACAAACAATGAGTGAATAGAAAATTGTAATTCTTTAGGGAAATTAGCTTTTATTCTTTGTTTCTATTCACTATGAATATCACATTCTTTGTTTAGTTTAAATAATTAGGGATAGTTCACTTATTAAGATACATCAGTTCAATATCACAATGATATTGATAAATGGTTTTTTTCTCTTCGAAGCTTAATCATGCATATAGTCATTTTCCCGAAGTGTCGAAACAAAGTATAATCAATAAGAAGAAAAAATACTATTTTATTTGTTAATTTTTTTTCTCATAAATCTGTTCAAAAGCTTAAGTATGAATGTCAGCTAATTGTAAGGTTTCAAGAGTTGTCTTTCAGTGTCAAATTTCATTTGTGTATTGTGAATGTCAGTCTTACAGATCATTTGCACGATATGCTAGAGAAGATATTGTGAGATCATTTTTATATCTTATTAGCAGGAACGGATCTACCCGATGATGATTATACAACATATATACCACAACCAAAATCAGCAAACGTTAATAATCGAAATTCATCACAAATACCTATCATTATTGAAACTAACGAAAATGATTCAATATCAACAAAAAGTAAAAATAATAAAATAAAAACTATTGTTATGTTGTCGGATTTTATTGTTCTTTAAATTTTAGCACAGAAGTCGAATAAAAAGCCAATGGATCGACGAAAAACAACAATAACTGGTATTTCAAGACGACGTCCAACAATTGAATATGATCGTATTGAACGTACACGATCAGCTCCACCGTCACCGGCTCTAAATCATAATGTTACACAAAGATCGAGCCATAATCGAATTTCTATGCATCCAATTGAAAATGTATGTTTAAAAATAATTCTCAGATATATTTAATTAAGATAAAATCCTCTGTTTAAAAATATACTGATATCATATCATTCAACTCCAAGTGTTCATGGCTTCAGTTTCAAGATTATTGACTAAAGTCTAATAGGACTCGTGGTCCAATCTTTGATAGCTTCAGTTAGTTTTTTAAAGTCATGAAAATAACTGTTCTATACTTATCGAACAAAAGTAAATGTAATTCCTATGACTGCTTACAATCTTTTATTTCTTGCGCATAAACAAGGAATTCTTTCTAACTGCTTGTTTCATGATAATTTAATAACTATGATATATCATCAGCTACTGTCGATAGTTTTTAGAATTAACTTTATATTGTATTCGGTTAATGAAATTGAATAATAAATTTTAACGATGAAATAAATGGTGTAGTTTAGATATTCTCATTATTTAAATTTAATTAATTAGTAATAAAAGATTAAGTATCAAGTTCAGCAGAAAAGACAAAAAATGAATCATGAAAATACAAAGTCAAAAACAACAATATTTATGTTTAGTTTTCTGATATTTTAAAACTATGAGAAAGATATATTTTACTTTTTCCTTCCACAAAACTATATATATGTAGATAGTCAAGAGTAGCTAAAAAACAGAAATTCATTCTATTGTGTTACCTCTAGATAAAATTTCACATAACTTATTCATCAAAGAAATATTTTTCTCATATAAGTGTAGCATAGATTTTCTCTTTCCAAATTGATACACTGGAAAAGTCATGTTGCAAAATTAAAAGAATCTGTTGAAGATATACATATTTAGACAAACAGAATCTAGTCGATCCTCCTTGAAGAGAACAGAAAAGCAGGACAAATTTTCTCGAGTCAACAAATGTATGAAATAAATCATCATTTGTTTATTGACATTATACCAAGACTTGAAGGCAAAAAAGCTTTTTTATTGCATAGCTCATTGATATGTTCTAAAAATTGATCATTCTTGTAGATATTATTAAACGTAATTTTTCTGTTTGTGAAAGAGAAAATGAACTAATATCTATGTGTACTTTTAAATAGGAAACCAAAGGTGTGTCCAGTGAACGTGATTCATTAATAATAAATGATCCGAACAATAGTTTATCTTCGGGTACACTTGAAGTTCGATTTAAATTTGATGCTAAAAATAGCAAAATGTGGGTATTTGTTATAAAAGCAACGTTAGAAATGACTGACAATACACCAAAACAAACTCTTGTTCAAGTACATTTAACTGTTTTACCAAGTAAACGTATTCGTTTTCGCACACGAGTTAAACCAATTGACAATGCAATGTTTGCCGAAGAATTTTTTTGCAAAGTGTTACCTGGTTTGTCTTTTTATATAGTCTATTTTAACATAATATCTATTTGTTTATTTATATTTAGATACAATGCAAAGTCAAGGTATACGTTTTCGTTTGTATACATATGAACGATTTAAACGTGAAAAACTTCTTGCTGAAGCAACAGTGATGTTTGCAATGATTAATCTTGATGAAGATATGTGTAAAATAGTTCCATTAAAACGAGCTTATGTTAGTATATATAAATACATGTGTATATCATTTAACATATGAAAAATATTTATCTTGTTATTTAGCCATCTCAAGATTCTGATTTAGGTAGTCGTTCTCATTTAAGTATTAATTCATATTCACGACTAAATTCTATTGTTCAAAGTGGAGATGGAACAATAAATCCTCTTTTATCAGAACTTGAAATTGGTTTAGCTTATGATAGAAATCAATCAATGCTTATTCTGGAAATAGGAAAAGGAAATAATTTTCATCTGACATGCGAAGGTCGAGCTCCCGGTATATATTTGTATTTGTATTTTGTTTTATAAAGTCTGTTATGATTATTTTATTTTTAAGATACTTATGTTCAAATAAAACTTCATAATTTGGCTGGTGATGAAATTACTGCAAATCGAACAGCTACCAGATATGGACAACACCAACCAGTGTTTGCTGAACGGTATTCATTTAATATTCAAGAAAATTGTCTTGATCAAATTACTCTTGTTATTTCTGTTATTAATAAAAATTCAACAAGTAAAAATGATCGTGAGCTTGGATGGATTTCATTCGGTATGCATTTATTTTTATTGATCTTTTAAATATAATTTCAAATTTAGGTCATGATGCTAGTGGAAATGCTCAAGTTGCACATTGGGATTCAATGGTTAGTGCACAAGGTGAAACAATAACAAAATGGCATACTTTATTAGAAAAATGATTTTTTTTATTGTAACAATTAAAATATCTATTGTTTGTCTTTGTCAATATTTGTATGTATATTTATCAATTGACTTTTGGTTTTCCTTATTAATCAATCTAATGATTTGCTTAAATATAGTATCATTTTATTGAAATATCTTACTCGTTTCTCTTCATATTTTCATCAATTATATTTGATAATGATTGAATAAGGCCAATAATTAGACGATGCGCTGATTTAGCTTCAATATGAGACTTTTCACTGTAAATTTAAAAATAAAAAAATACAAAACAAAATGATTGTTTTGAATTGATTTGGAAAATTTTATTTGACATTCAATTTTAAACTTTACGATCTATTCATTAATTTAACTCGATAAATGTCGACAAATACTCTTTTCTTTTACGTTTGGAAGTTTTTCAGAATATTCATGTAACAAAGAGATTATTATATTGATAAAACAACGCATGTTATTTTAAAGCCTTCTAAATCAACAATGAATTTTATCGGTGGAAAATGGATCAAAGATCTTTTATAATGATGGCATATTGAAAAAGAATTATATTGATTCCTTTTTATTCAATAGACATTGTAAGATGATTGCAGAAAATGTTCGATATTTGTTTCGCAGGTGTTTCACAGTTAATGCGTTGTATCATAGAATAAAACGCAATGAAAAATCAGCTAAACGAATACCAAATGTTTTAAATTATTAGTTAATATTAACTTCTATGTTTATTATCGGAAAATTTTATATGAAAACACTTTCTTTTGGAATTCTGAAAGACATCTGTTCTTGAGATAAACTGATAATAATGCTGTTGTATGCATAATAAAACATCGTATTAACTAAATGAAAAACTGCAGTATTTGAAGAATGATATATAGTAAAATAATGGCATATTGCGCATTCTATGATGTTAATTATGGTGAAATACACTATAGTAGCTATACTGTAACAGTCTACTGTAGCGTTGTTCAATGGATGATTGACAACTAACAGCATCTCGTTTCAATGTTCCCATGACATATCTTATTAGTACTAACGCTTTCTTTCCTTTTTTTAAAAATTCTAGTGTAAAGCTCGATCATATCACTAAAAGAAGGCGTATATTGTAACTACAGAACATTCCACATCTTTCTGTCAGATTAAAGGTTTTACTGACAAACTAACAAATCTAAGATATTAGCTACTGAGAATATGTATAAACTAAAATATTCAAAGATAAAGATATTTACAGTGTATATGATGAGTCAAGAATTCAAAATTTCCGTACGATTTATTCTTTTTCTCTTTATCGTAGCTGGATAGACATTGTCGAGTTACATAAGACAAAGTACATTTCACATATTTGATAATAAAAGTATGGTGGAATTTTCTCTTACAATGTTTTTTTCATTTGAAACATACTTTTTCTTATGTAACTATAGACACTGTAAATACCGTAAAATTTAAATATTTCAATCCATGCATATCATCAACAGCTCATATTTTAAATTTGTTAGCATGCCGGTAAAGTCTTTAATCTAATCAGAATATGTATCCCCAATGTCTTTCAGTTACAGTACACAATTCTCTACTACTAGTTAAGTATTAAAAACTTTTCAAGTATGTTTCTTTTTGAACAAGTTTCAAGCACAATACCATCTGTTTAAAGTATACTATTAAATTAAAGTTTGGATTTTGATTGACATACATCCAAATAAATCAATCACAAAAAAAATGAAATTAATTAAGTTTCGAAAACAAAAAAACCTGGTAGTTAATAATGTAGAGAATCGACATCGATATTACCTGAATACAACTAATTTTTCCAACCAATTAATCGAAAACATAAAGTCTTTTGGTGTAATTATTTCATTATGAATCAATTTTAATTTTGCTTTAATTTGTTCCATAGTATTTTCTGCTGTATTCATTTTATTATTTGTATCCGAAATCCGTGTATTTAATACTTGTATTGTACCTAATTTTTTCTTAGAATTCAAAATTTGAAAAGAATTATTATTAAATAATACATACGTTTACTTAATTCTTCACGTTTTCTCTGATTACGTAAATTTTTTTTTTCACGTTTTTCTTTTATATAATCATCATTGACAGATGATACACTTTCAATCATTAATCCAACAAGAACATTTGTTACAATACGATTACCAACAAAAACTATAATTGTTAAAAACCATCGTGATATTGATGGACTCCCTTTTTTTTCAAGTTCTGGTCCAATTAAATTCCAATTATCGACTAATGTTAATCTCATAGCAATAATTAATGATGTTGGAAAATGATGCCATGGACTAAAAAAGATATGCATTATTTTCATTGAATTTGATTTCGATTACTTATTAGAGCTTCACAAGTCTAGATCTCAAACTGATCCAACAAGATTTGGAAATTTTTATGCATTCTGACAATACTGTTCTTTCTTTCTTTCCTAAAATACAGCTAAATCTATCAAAATGAATGATTTCATTAGTTTTTTGTATTTTGAAATAGTCTATATGTGTTTTATTTACTCTCTTTTTGATACCATGGAAACATAATAATGATATTGAGACAGTTGGTATAGCGCATTATTTACGATTGCATATAAAGCAATGGAATCATTAGAAAGAAATATGATGCAAAACTAAAACTGTATATGAAGACAGTAAACGAGCATTTTCTTCTTCGTACATCATTGTATCCCTTTGTATACAACAAGGAGAAGTACGATCGTCATGCTGGAGTATGCAAGCTATTGAATCCATCAGAGTACAACTGTTTATGACAAGACAAAGAGTCACACTCATGGGCATAGAGTATATTTTTTTTGATTTTTTTCTGACATAGCATCATCTACTTTAATAATCTAAGTCGATTTTCGGCGCATGAATGAAAAATCATTTAATATATTATAAAGTAGTACGCAAATTTGTAGGAAAGCTAAAAAAGAATTCAAACTTAAACTAATGCGTTTGGATTTTTGTAACTGTTTTAGTGTCTAAGTCAGTGACGATATTAGGCTTTTTCTATGGATATTCTGTAATGAAATTCTCATTCTTCAGTTTGCAGCTATGAAAAAATTTTGTGACTATCAGGTTCAACAATTATGAGAATTGTTGTGATCAAGACATTAGCGACCAGAAACGTTTGATATACGCCTATTTGTGATTCTATTATTTTATTGGAATGTTCAAAAAGTTTCACGTTTTAAAATATTACTGAAATAAGGCAGAGCGATGATAAAGCGATTATTTAGTTACCTTATGGATCACTCTTACCTATCTTCTGGTTTTCCATAGAGCATTTGTCCAATAACAGCAACAACATAAATAAATAAAAAAACAAGTATAACAACAGTAAATGTATATGTTAATACAGTTTTAATTAAAGCTTTTGTTAATACTTGTAAACCTTCAGACAATTTGATAATCCTATATAAACGTATTGATTGTAATAATCGAAAACCTTTTAATAAATTTGTTATAGTTGAATTTGTTTTTTGAAAAAATAAATTCCAAATAATTTCAATAAAACCAAAAAAAATAATAATAAAATCATAAATATTTGTCCAATTAAACCAATAATGAATTGACTCTAAATATATTTTAAGAATAAATTCAAGAAAAAGTATTGCAATTAAAACTTCATCAAATGCATAAATAAATTTTTGTTGATAAAAATTTTTTATATGATTTTCATCGGTTTCTAAACTTAATCCAAGTGTTATTGAACTTGATGTAACAACAAAAGCCATAAAATAATCATAGATTGGATGATGAAAAACTGCACGAAGATAATCTTTGCTAGTTTTTTTATGGTGTATAACATTATAATAAATATGTCGTTCATTGTCTAGAGAAAATGAAATATTATCATCATCATCATCATTGTTAGCATCGAAATCAAGATAATCATCAATAAGTAATTCTTTCAAACTACGATGCATTCTCTCTTTTCTAGTTAATTATGATAATCAGCGCCGTTTTGTATCACGATTTTAAATCGCTTATGTTTATTACTTACTAATAAATAAATTTTGCTAATATTCAAACTTCTTTTCTGATCTCAACAAAATTTGATTTTCTATTGACTGAAGATAAATCATGATCTTTCTGATTATCGTTCATTGCCTGATACCGATCTGGTGAATAACTTCATATTGTCAAATACAATAAAATAATCGTTCTTTTGGGATAGTATTATTTGTTTTGTCTAATATTTTTTACACTTCAATATTATATCTGCATTTCTCTTGATGAGATTTTTATGCTAAAGAAATTGATTAATTTCTGCATACGAACAAGTTTCACTCTGAATCATTTCTTGTATGACTCGATTCTAAGCAAATCAATCATTTTATTGTAGGCAATTTCGCATTGAAATATTGTATATTAATTAACAAGAGCAAATTTCTGTTTGCATTCTTGTAAATTATTCTAGCCATCATGAATTGATTGTGCAAAGCAAACTTTTTCATTCAAATATTAGAGTCATGTAACAAAAATCACAAACGATAAGAGAAAATTGTCGAAGAAACATTCTACTATTATTATTTTAATTAACTTATCTTTGATGATTTATCAATAATCAAAAAAAAAAGAATCTGATTTTCTATCTATTTCAATATTCTTTTTCAAAACTCCGATAAGTCAATCGAACTAAAGCAGTTCGACAGTTTTTCATAATCGACTGTATTTTCATACAAACACAATCAGGAAGCTTTAAAATCATCAAAAAGAACAAACATTTTTCTAATAATTAGATATTATAACTGTTTCATACATTCGATTTTAAATCAAACGTTTATTTTATTATAAAGAATACCATAAAACCAAATTTATAATAAATAAATTTTTATCTAACATTCATTTCATATTGTCTGATGACTATTTATATGTTTAATTTATACTTTTCGTTTTGCCATTATTTGTTTGTCAGATAATAATTACAAAATGGCTGTCGAATTTTGTGATATATGTTCAGAATTAACAGATTGGAATTTCTGTCTTCGATAAATATAACCTTGTTCACTAAAATATAATGCAACAATATCACATATAAATGTTGCTAAACCAAGTATACCTATCATTGATCCAATATTAAGTGTTAATACGAGTAAATCAAATCGACCAGCGTCACCATTTACAGTAACAATCAAGCGTAAACCAAATGCTTTTTTTAATATGCGATGTGAACTATTTTCAATATTCCAATGTGATGCGTAACGAAAATTAAATCCAAATGAAAATTTTTCATCACGCCATCTTGAGTCTAAACGACCAAATGAATATTCGGGTTTACATTGATCTTCGCCTAAATCTAAATTACACCTCCAGTCAATTTTAATACGTAGAACAGCACCATAAACTAACATTTTATGACGTTCATCATCATCATTTTCAACTATATTTAATAAATCACCAACACGAAATATTGGACAAAATCTATCATTTACTGGATGATAAAGACATTTTTGAAAATATTTTGATTCATTGAGAATATTTGTTCTTGATACACGAAAACGTGTAAATTCAATAAAATTTTTTAAGAGTATTTTATAATTTAATGCATCCATTATTGGTTGAGGCATAACAAGATCATTTTCTACTGGACACCAACCTTCCATTTCACATCGACTTTCAGATATACGACATTTTCCTGTCCAATGTCCATTACTTTTTGAAGGATATCGACGTTTAATTTCACATTCTGAATGATTGCTACATATAGCATTTTTAACATCAATTCCTTCTTCACAAAATGTTCGTTGTTGATCTGTACTAATAAAGTTTGTCATAATAAATAGAGCATTATTTTCTTGTGGTGGAATAATAAAATCTGCATTATCTAATGTTATTGTTGAATTTTCTCCAAAACTTCCAATACCTTTCACTGCAAGTGCAACAGATGATATTAATGATGGATCATGATCTTGATAACCACGTTTATACCACAACATATAAGCAACTGCATATATTAAAATAAGTAATTGAACAAAACGACATGTTAATGCTATTGGACATGAATTAATTGTAACAATTTTTGGTGCTAATTAATAAAAATAAAAATGCTATTTTTAATTAAAGCAGAAAAAAACTTACTTTCATATGTTGTTGCCATACTAATGAAAACATCTTTAAAATGAGTTGGACTAAATATTTGGATAAAAATTGAACAACGTCGTTGAATTTTTCTAACACTTGGTTCACACATAATAAAAATATTTTTTGATAGTATTGTGAAATGAATAACGACATAAAATAATAATATTCTCTCTTTTTTTTTCTTTCTTTTTACTTATCATGTAAACAAGGAAGAGTAACATTTGGTAATTAAGATGATGATGAAATGACTAATAGTTTATTTTTTAAAATAATAAATAGATGATTATATCGATAGTTAATTTGTGTGACCAAATAAAATAAATCGACGATAGTTGAAACAATATATCAACATTAAATTATAGGAATTAATCTAGAATTTTTTCTTCGAAATTTTCGATTAACATAAATATGAATAAATACATACGTGTCTCAGTTGGGAGCTAGTGACTTGAAAAGAAGAAGCCCATTGATAGATACCAGTTACATTTGTTCTTTCTTACAATGTATTAGATTCTGCCAATGAAACTCAGAGTTGCTTAATCAAGAAATTGAACATACATAAAAGAATAGATGATAATGGTGAAAAGTATTGAATATAACAAGAAGAAAGAAACTTCCTATAGATAGCCTAATGGAATTAGTTTTCGAAAAAATTCTATCTTGACTAATAGCATCACATTTCTTTGGATAATCAATAATGTGTGATCTCCCGCGTTGATCAACATTTATTAATAATAAACTTAACACATCTGTTGCATATTGAGAATACAAAAGACGTAACTAAGATCATATAATAAATAATAATCTATTTGATAGATATTTTTATGTGTTTTTTCAAGTCGAAATGAAACAAATGATTAATCAGCAGTTTATCTTATCATTTATTATTTTCTGTTTAATTTATTTGACAATATAATTCTTAAGAAATTATCAATTTATCTAGTTTTGATATTAAACAGTTTTTTTTTATTTCGTCAACATTATTTTTCAGTATCAATCATATAATAATCGATTTCATTAGAATTTATTCGTAGATATACAATTTTCTTGATATAAAAGTTCATTGTTACATTTCGTTGTATGATTTTATTTCAAATAGGATGATTAAAAACACATCAATCGATATTCTTTTCATAATGCTATAAATGAATTCTACTTAATAAATGATAAAAATGAATTATATGATCATTGAAAACTTTACAATTCTCTTACATAGACTTCTGTATAACAAAGTTTCATTCAGAAAACTAGATATTATAAAATTTAACGTCATGTAATCTTAGAAAAAAAAATGACTGAACAGAAAGACGTCAGCCTGTGAGCAATTGTGAGGATCATTTGCAAAGAAGACAGAACTAACAAAAGACAAAACGAAAAATATATATATGTACAACCATAAAAACAATTAGGAGACTTGGATAATTACATCGGAGCAAAATGCAGATTCACAGCAGGAATAAACTATACCATGCTGACGCAATTGATATTTCATCCTTTTTTATTCGATTATTGAACTAATTTGATCCATCACTTTGAATTATCAACTATGAAAATATTTGATTGTTTGATATTTATAATAATTTACGATTTACAACAAATTCAACATATTCAATATTGTTCAACTAGTTCAATCAATATTTAATTTCTTTTATTCGACTTATAATAGCATCCTTAAAGGAAAAGATTTAATTCGAGATGAAGCAGTTGTCCTTTCTTATGAACGAATATATCTATATGCCACTGCCATCTATATTCGAACATACAATTCGTTCTTGACATTGTCTATCGGACAAAGAAATGCACTCCCGTCAAAAGAAAGGAAAAAAAAAACACTTGTTTTATTTTCCTTATTTCATGTATTCATGTGTATGAAATTGATATTAATAATTGATTAGTTTAGATGTCTGAAAGTGAAGACTTAGAATCGTTAAAAGTGATTGAACTACAAAATGAACTTAAAAAACGTGGTCTTGATACAAAAGGACGCAAAGCAGATTTAATCACTCGTCTACGTCAAGCAATCAATGATGGTATTGAAGGTGACAATGATTATTTTGATTTATAAAATTCATATTATATTTTCTTCTTAGCTACTAAAACAACAACAGATAATCCAGATATTAGTGATGAAGAATCAGCTCCACCTGTCATCAAAGATGAAACATCATCTCCATCAAGTGTTCGTTTATTGATTTGATCGTTATTTTTGTTTGTTTTATTTTCTATTTTATTCAGGCTATTGAAGATGACGACGATGATGATGATGAACAAGAGCAACCATTAACAGAACCAGTATCAAATAATAATCAATTAGAAGATCCTCTTATACAACAAATAGAATCAACATTAAGTAAAAAACGTCGTCTTACTGATGATGAAGAAAAAGACAATGAAGAAAGTGAAGATAATGAAATAGAAAAAATAAAAGATGAAGATATTGAAAATAATTATAATGAAAATGATGAATTAGCTAAGCAACGCCGTAAGAAAAAAAGTCGTTGGGAATCAGAACAAGATGAAGAAGAAGAAACATCAGAAAAACAAATAACTACAAAACGTACTTCTGATGATGATGATACTGTTGATAATAGTAGTACAACAAGTAGTAGCAGACATAGAGATCGAGATCATCATCGATCATCAAGATATAGTGACGATCGACATTATACTAGTCGACATTCAGAAAGGTATGTCAATAAATATTTTCTATTATCACACTTAAATTGAACACTGAAATCAGCAGATTGTTCGGCATTTTATAAATCATCGTTGTTTTTTATTGTCTCATTTATTTTTTGTATAGGTCAACAGAAAAGGAAGCATTACTTCCAGAAGAAGAAACTGTACAATACAACTCTGAGGATGTTGTACTAGACTTTTGTAAGTCATACATATTTCGATTTCAAAAATGTTCAAATTTATTGAAATTTCTAATAGTTTTTAAAACAAACAATAATGAGACGAATAAATATAAAAAGCCCTTTTGTCATTGAAAAAAGAATCCCTATAATTTAAATACAGCAGAAGTTGTTGCAGTTTTAGAGAAGATTTAGGTTTCAATGACAAATGCGTTCGATATCAAGTGATGCTTTCAATTAGTTGTTTAGCATTAAAATTTATTTGTATTTTCTGCTACTTCAAAAGTATGCTTAGTATTAGTATAAGAAATACAAAAATGGATTTAACTTAAGAGTCATACGATGTATATAGTTAATTAATAGTATCTATATCTAAGGACTATTTAATCAATGAACAACTAATGCAGACGTAGTACTTTGAAATTTTTTGTTTAGCCCTAGGAGATTAAAGACAAAAGATATGCAAGGCCAAGTTTTTTAGTTCTAATGAGTTCTTTTGTCAACCATTTCGGTAGTTGATTACGCACATCTCTATTAACAACACAAAAGATAGGACTCATTCAGGGGTTGATTTAACTGTTATAGAGTGAGAAAAGCAAAGACTAGTTCATACTTGTATACCGATTGGTACCGGTAAATAAAATACTCGACTGGTGACAAGACTTCGTAGACTAATAATAATAAGAATTTAAAATATAATTTCATCTTAGACGTTTGTTTGAACATTATAGATACGTCTGATCTAAATCTTACTATTAATACGAATTGTTTATCAGCATCGAGTAAATCGAATGATGCGTTATGTTTTTTGTGGGCTGGCACTCGTGCAACTTATGGATTTAAACAAGGGAAAATTTGTTATGAAATTCGAGTATGTCGAATTATTTTATTTATATTTACATTTTATTCAATTATTTTATGTTAGATAACTGAAATAATTGAATGTCCACATATGCCAGATTATGAAAAAGAAAAATTTGGTATTCGTGTTGGTTGGTCTAATTTATATTCGGGTCTTCATGCACTTCAACTAGGTAAAATGAATAAGTTTTATTTTGTTTTTCTGTTTTTGTACTAATGAAATGATTTTTTCTTCAGGTGAATTCAATGATTCATTTGGTTATACATATTCTGGAAAGAAAATGTGTAAATTAAATGATGAATTATCTGAAGATAACTATGGTGAATCATTTGGTGTGACAGATATTCTTGGATGTTATATTGATCTTGGGAATCATGGTGATGATAGTAAAATACATATATCATTTACAAAAAATGGTCAAGATTTTGGTCAAGCATTTGAATTAGATAAAACAACTTTTTCAAATCATAATGATGAAAATCGATTCATCTTTTATCCTCATATTTTAGTTAAAAATATTAAATTTCAATGTAATTTTGAACAATTAGTAAGCTAATTAATATCTTTTAGTTTTTCGAAAAGAAAAAAAAACTTGTATCTTAGGAAACATCATGGTCAGAAATAAAAAATGACTATATATTTCCACAAAATATTTCTTTACATGAACGAATTCGTTGTTCAGAGCCAATTCTAGAAAAAAATGATTGCCAAGTTATTTTACTTTCTGGATTAATTGGATCAGGAAAAACAACATGGGCAAAAAAATATATTAAAGATAATCCAACAAAAAATTTTAATTTAATCAATGCTGAATACGTTCTTAGCAAAATGGCGGTATGTTTCTATATCAATTAATATCTTTTACAATTCTTTAATTAAAATAATCGAATTTGTTTTGTTTCTATTGAATTATGTTAAGGTGAAAGAAATATTTTCAGTTCATGATCTCGGTTTGATTCATTGTTTTTCATTAGTTTCGCTTCTTTCAATTATGTTGTATGTAGACAATATATGTATAAGATAAAACTGATATTATGTTGACAGCAGACGAGTATTGAAAACTTTGAATTTCTTTCCCGTTCTCTACAAAGATATTAAGCTGGAACATATGTATCTGCTTATTTTTATTTCATTTTCTGCCACAGAAAGACAAATCTTGTTTTAAAATCTGCTTACCGTTCAAAGTTATCAAGCTGTATGAAATTGTGAGGAAGTATTAGAAACTAGCAGAAATTCAACCCTGACAGGGAAAGATAGTTTTTCTCAGCATTCCTATGGTTGCTAGACTAAAGCCTTAAATTTAACGTGAAACTAAAGACACTTTCTCAAACCACTAAATTATCACGACTGGATTTTTGAAAGCGTCGTATTTTTCTAAAACACCTTACACTTAAAAGAAAAAGTTCGTTAGCATTAAATCCTTTTTAATAAATTCTACCAGCGGAGAAAATCTCATAGGATAATCACAATTTTAATTATAAAAACAATGTTAAGAATATTTTCGATAGAAAATGTCTTTACATTGACTCGCTGATTTGCCTTTTTTGGAAAAACTTGTATTGACTAGACAGTCGATTAGGTCCTTTCAATGTGAAAACTCGTTCTTGAATAAAATCTATGGCTCTATTTTAAGATTGATGGTAAATTACCAACAATCAAAGATCGTAATGATGGTTTAATGTTACGTGTTAATATTTGTTTACAAAAATTAATTGAAATAGCTGCACAACGTCGACGCAATTATATTATTGATCATGTAAATTTTCGCTGCTTAATTTTTTCTTTCTGTAAGAAACAAAATTTCTTATTTAGGTGAATATAAGTCGAGAAACCCAATCAAAACGCCAACGATTATTTACTGGTTATCAACGTTTAGGCGTCGTTATCGTACCTAACGATGATGAATTGAGAACCCGCATTGAGAAAGTTGAAAGAACAGAAACTATTTCAATACCTTTGCAATGGATTCGAGAAGCGAAAGGTATGAGTTTCTTTTTGAAATAATTCATCTGAATTAAATGATTATTTTTAGCTAAATTTCATTTCTTACAAAAGGGTTCTTCCTTAGAAGAGGTTATTTATCCTGAATTGTCTTATCAAGATGCCAAATCTTTATATGATAAAATTCGTCGAGATTATGATCAGCATCATTCGTCTTCGTCACGTTATGAACGACATGATGATTATCGTTCATCACGTAATGATCGAAATCGTTATGATGATCGAGATCGTGGCAGTCGTGATCGCGATCGTGATCGTTATAATCGATCTCGTTCACGTGAGCATGGTAGTCGAGATCGGGATCGTGATCGACGAACATCCCATGAAGATTCACGTTATTCATCATCACGTCGTAATGATAATTATAGTGGTGGTGCGGGTAGTGGTCATATTAATAATAACTATCGTGCAGGTGGTTATTCTGATAATCGACAAGATTCGAAAAACAATAACTATAATCAACGTGGTGGTTTTCATGAAAGAGGTTACCATGGAAGAGGAGGTAATAATTATAATAATCAATCGAATGTTGGATGGCGCGGTAGTTATCATCAACAACAAAGAAATGATTTCGGAGCAGGTAGCGGTGGACATGGTCGCGGAGATTTTAGAGCTGGAAATCAATTTAATAATAGAGGATCATTTCATGATAATCAACGTAGCGGACGTGGTGGTGATAGTGGTGGATTTAGACCAGATTTCAATAATCAACAACGTGGTCGACAATTTAATGAATATGATAGTAATCCTCAACGTCAAGGCAATAGTGGTGGATTTATGCAAAATAATAATAATAATAATAATTTCAATCAACAACATGATCGACAAGGATTTGGTTCTCGAGTAAATGTTTTGTTTACATATGTATTTTAATATTTTAATTTATTATTGTAGCCACCGATGCCACAACAACAACAACAACAGCAACAGAATCTATTTCAAAATCAAGCCCAACGTCCACAACCACTTCTTCAAAATCCATCATCTAATCAACAACAACAATTTTCATCGCAAATTTCTCAAACAGCAACTAATAACCCGAATTTATCTTTACAATCACAAAACTCATTAGGTATGAATCCTACTGGGGTCATACAGCCAAATTCACTTGATTCATGGTTTGCATTATATGCCGCTGCACTTAATCCACAAGTCGCTCCACAACAACAACAAATTCAACCACAACAAGATACCAATTCAGTAACTCAACAATGGACACAATGGTTTAAAACAGCTCAAATGGTTTATTTCTTAAAAACAATTCTTTTTCTTGAAAACTTTTTCTTTTTTTTTAGGGCCAAGTAGTACAACAGTCTCAACCTCAATTAACCGTTCAACAGCCTGACACTCAACAACAACAACAAAATCAATTGTCTGATGCAACTGCTTTGTATTATCAAGCATACTATGCTCAATTAGCAGCTGCTCAACAACAAGCAGCTGCTGGAGCTGGTTCAACAAATGGTGCTGTAGCACCATCTGGTAGTAGCGATAAACCACTTTCTTGAATTTTTTTTCTCTTAATGTACATAAAAATTAAAATAAGAACAAGTGTTCATTTTGTATTTGTTCATTTATAAGTCTCAATTTTAAATTGAGAATATTTGAACATATTGTTGTTCGTATGTATGTAATCTTTATTACCATTCTTGTTTGTATGTATTTTGTCGTGAAAAAAGAAAAGCAAAACAATGAAATATGATTATGTGTCTACGTATTTTCCTCTTTTTTTTCTCCTTTTGCTATTTGTGCGTATTGAAAGAAAAAGAAAAAGAGAGAAGCGTATTGAAGTGATTGAAGTTTAGTTTGTTTCTTGCATTTGATATGGAAGATGAAATTTTTCATTTCTTTTTTTTTTGTTAATGTAGATGTCTGTTATTGAGACTATTGAAGCCTTTGACAAATTGGAGTATAATGACATACGTTCTTTTGCTGCGGCTTCGGCTTTAATTGCAAAATCTATTCAAGAATATAATGGTAATCCAGCAGCAAAGATTAATATATTTAAATTATTATATGAAAATGAGTATGTTGATATTTAGATTTGTAGAATGTTTTTTTTTGTTTTTTCTTGATTTATTATAGATCATCGGAAATAAGACTTCAACAGAAAGATATAGAACGCGAATGGCTTGAAAATAATAATGAAATAATGTAAGAATTGATTTTCATTCTCTCATCAGATTGCTAATCGCATCGTACTTATTTGTCGATTTTTGTTCTGATAGGAATTTTAAGAAGATATAAACTTGGAAGAGAGTGAAAGAGACGTTTCAACTAGAGACTGAAAATCAATCAATATCATACGAACGAATGTTTTTAAAAGAATGGAAGAAAAAATTTAATAAAGTTTTAGATTGAACATCGAAATAATAAAACTTTTCTTTAGACAAAGCAATTCTTATAAAAAAACTAACTGTTAGAGACTCATGATACGGTTGTCAATGTTTCTTCAGTGCATTTTCTAGCTTCTGCTAGAAATGCTCATTATTTAATCACTATTCATTATTTTCTCTCATGTAAAATACCTAATTTCTTTTGTATCTGTCCCATAGATCTTTTACAACAATATTGGACTCATGTCTTGATCGATCATTATCTGATCGGCCGAAAATTTCCGAACAATCACTCTATTTACCATTTCGTTCCGATCAACCAATTGAATATGAATCAATTCAATGGCAAGCAGATCCATCATCAATATCACGTTTTGTTATACAACCGTTATCACCTAGTCGAGTATTGCAACCTCGGAATGAACCAAATACTGAACAAGAAATAAATAACAATAACACAAATGTTATCCTTCTTGATGATAATGATGATCAGAATTATGTGGATGCAAATGGTGATGAAGAAAATGAAGCACCAAAATCAACTAAGAAAAAAGGCAAGAAGAAAAAACAACAAGCAAAAATGACTGAAAATAATAATGATACTTCAACACACTTAAATACTTCATCAAATCGAACATCAATGACAGGTCAAAAATTTCCAGTAACTAATCTATTCCCATCCTCTGTTTCTTCAAATATTTATTATTCGTTTTTTCATTAAGCAAAAACTATCATCGAAATGGTCAACTGGTAAACGAATTTCAGGCTTTGGCACTGGTAAAACAAGTGCTATACGTAAAGTAAATAAAATTATTCAATTTGGATAAGAAAAAGAAAAACAACGATCTAAATTTTAAATTGATTAGTTTGCACGTCCATCAAATGATCGTCAACATCGTCCAGATTCTCGTACATTATTTCGTAATAAACCATCCGTTACAAGTAATACATCTCGTCTTAGTCAAGAGCAACGTGAACAATTAGCACGCGCTGTTGAAGAACGTAAACAAGAAGAACGTAAACGTAAAGTGGAAAAATGTAAATAAAATCGGAATTTATATTTTTAAATATTAAGCCATTTTCCCTCTTTTAAAGTACATGAACAAGCAAAAAAACGTGAAGAAGTTCTTAATCGTGCTAAACAAATTCAACAAGATAAAGATCAAAAAAATCAATTACGTGTATCTGATAATCAATCGAAAACAAATACTATTGTTAATAAAAAAGCACAAGGAAATAATTTTAATAATTCAACTACATTTAATAATTCAATGAATGAATCTACAAATCTTCCAAAAACAACTGTACAGCAACAACAACAACTACATAAACCAGTTATACTTGATACAACTAGTAATAAAATACTTGGTCAAACTAAAATACTTAAACAACCAGCAAATTTTGGATTAAAAAAAGCAACAACAACAGCAGCAAATGCTGAATATACATTTGTTGTTGATAAAAGTAATCCACAAAGAAATGATATTACACTACCATCATGCTCATTAATTCAACCAAATGCACAACATAAAGCAGATTGGACTATTTCACCAACACCCACAAATGCTTATGATGAACTGGAACTTGATGCAACAATGACGTTAGTTGAAAAAATTTTTTTCTTAATTCTTTTTGTGTACACAATACATGTATCAATGTGAAAGAAGATGCTCAGTGCTGTGACAATTTACAAGATCTTGAAGCCATAGTGGAAGATGGCTCATCTCTGTTGACTAGGATTTTGACAAATCTGATGAGAATGTGTTATATTCTGTTGAAAAATCAGTTTAAGAGATCTAAAACCTTCATCGAGGTTTTCTTTTGATTTGTCGTGTGTTCAAATTTTGTGAACTAGTTTTTCCGTTCGAGAGCGTTTGCATACTTTTATTGACATGAGTACTGTCTCAAATCTTCGTCAAAAAGACAAATCAATCTTATTGTTCTTTATTGTTTTTAATACTTTTCAATTAGTGATACAACTCATGATTCAGGTGATGGTGATTATGGTATTGAAGATGTACGTTCAGATCAAGATTCAGATAATGATGATGAAGATGAAACTCGTATACCTAGTTGGGCTAAAGGTTTGTTTTTTTTCAGTAGAATTAAAATCTGTGTTTTTTCATGTGATTATCTTTTGTAGAACGCTTATTTCAAACATTTTGGAAAACTCAAGGTCATTGGTATTTATCACGTCGAACACTTAAATTAACACGCCGTACATTAGGACATTACCCTGTAATAAAAGATCAACTTCAAGCATGGCTTAAAGAACTTAAATCAAGCAAACCACTATCAGAAACATTTACCGATGCAACATATCTTGATCAAACACAAACACCACATTTTTTATGAATAACTTTCAGATTGATATATATGCGTGCATGTGTGATTTTTTTGTTCTCAGATATTGTCTACTTGAATACGTCAGATAATATTATTTTCTTGCATGTTTAACACATAACCATATTATTACGTTCATGTACATATTGGACAGATATCAAGATAGCAAAGAATTGTTTTTCTCTTGTAGTTTTTCTTTATGTATTTCTTCTTTCTTACTGTTATCGTATCTTTATTAGCATTAATTGTCTAGATGAAAGTCAGCATTGAATAAATATTTGTATATCACGTTTGAAGAAAATAAGAATTCATATTTGATTGATCTAAAATAATTAGTTGAGATTATAACTAATTATTGTCATATGTATGCTTAGTTCTGAATCATAAGAAAATTAACTTATCAATCTAATAAAGAATATGATGTATGAATATTATGTTGTTCATCCACTTAATTATTTTTGGTAGCAATTAATATTGATATAAACTTGATTCAATAATGCATGTAAATTAATTCTCTATTAGAATATCAAAACATTGTGGAACAGTATTTCGGTAACACTATAGGTTTGTAAACGTGACAAACTTTTTTCAGATAATGGTACAGTAGAAGTCTTTTAAAATCTGAACATTTACATAATTTTACGTCATACATCAGTCGACACATGCGCAAATGCTTATTAACATTAAACTGTTGTCATTCAAGTCGACGTATCGATATTATTACCAATAATATTATGCAACCGTCAAAATACAAGAAATATATAGTTAAAGTTTAAATTTATAGATATTCAAGTTTCTAGCAATTACTGTTATGAATAAATGCATCTGCCCATTTTTATTATAAGATACAATGCTGAATAGAAGCATCAGATCATATTTGGAACCGGACCGGTCGGTTTTCACCGCTTTTGAGTTAATTTTTAAAAATTTTTGGGGTACTCGAATATGCTTATTTTGCTTGTTTTTAACAGTTTTCATGATTTCAATGATCAAGGAATATGAGTCTAGAAGTTTCTAACTGATGAATTTTCAATCATTGTTGAAATCCCAGCTCTAAATATCGACTAGCACTTTTCCATGCTTGAATGAGGACCTCAGAGAATGTTTAATGAATTTTTTTATGATCACAAAAAATTAGCAGATTTTTCATCGCGAAATTTTGAGCCCACTTTTCTGGACTAATTTTGCCCAACTCTCATAGAATCCCAATAGCTAGTAGTTTTTAGCTCATGCTTTCATAGCAAACTATCAAAAAAGATTAAGTTCTGTTGTCAAGATCTTACTGACAAGTGCCATCATGTAACTGTGAAAATACTTAGATATCAAGAAACCTTAAATAGGAAATGTACTATGAAAACCGTACGTTTTAGCTCACCTTATCTTTCTGTCTACAGTAGCATCCTTTTTGTGAATTGAGATGCCTCTTAGCTATGTTAAAGAATTATTTCAAATAAAAATAGATCAAACGTAGCAATTATAAAGGAATCATATTGTTCGAAAAAAGTCAACTAAAACATAGTTAGATGTTGTTCAATATTAGTTTGTGAATGTTTCAGATTTTCAAGTATCGCCTATCCTGAGATATGATATAAGAACAAAATTTCCTATATTCATATCTCTGGATACGCAATGCCAGAAAATCTGAAACATTCACAATGATCTAATCCCTTTGAGAACTTGATTTGTGCAAAGTTTGAACTTGAAACTCGAAAATTGAGTTTAAGCTGACTTGAGGGGGACCACAGTACCTCGGTAAAATTACTTAGTAACATGACCATAATTCAAGAGGAAAGACCCATAGGCATAAATCATTCTAGGCTTTTTAGTCT